TGTCGCGCGTGGCGCCTTGGCTGCGCTCCAAGCTGCGGCACGCAGAGCAGCACAAGCTGTACAAGTGCGCCTGGTCAGCACACGAGGAAGCATTGAAGATGTGTAGTCAGCACAATCTGCATCAGACTGCCTACTTTCTGTCACGCGATCTAGCGTTCATGAAGGAGCGTGAGCCAGTGCTGTTAAAAGAGCTGAAGAATGCTAAGACGCCCACACGTAGTTTCCAATGGGCGTGTCGTATCTGGTCGCCACAAGCGTGGATCATCAGACGCAACTTTCAGGGGCAATCTGATGTGATTCCCACAGTCATCAGTCAGCAGGCTACATCGATAGTCACGCCACGTTCAGATCCTAGCCAACCGGTATTTCTGGTTGAGAAGGAAATGATACGCACCACCAGCTCGCGTTGGCCCTTTTGGCGTTTGTTGAATCTGTTGCAACGCACCTGGTGCTGGACTTGGAACATGATGTTTCTGCTCGGTATTCTTGTGCCCTGGTGTAGTCCGCTTGGATTGCGCGCACTCTTCTGTATTAAACCCTTCATGCCCGACCTGGAACTGTCTCAAATCAATGGTACCCTATTTCCGCGCAAAACTAGTATTACACAGACTTTGGCTTCGCGGCTAATCGAACTCTGGCGGCACATATCAAAATCACGCACTCACTTCGAAACGGAACCTGACACAGGTAATATATATATATATGTATATATTTGCCTGATATATAAGCTTTTGTTAGTTCCCACCTTTAATATTTATGCTACTTAAAGTATAATATTACTCTGTAAATATACAAAAAAATGTATCAGAGTTTAGAGCTTTTAGACTCTTCAAGAGAATAATTGATTATTAAAAGATCTGACGTCTTAGGTGTACGCCATTCCGTTTTTATTAGCTATTAATTTCTTTTGAGGGGTTAATGTAAATTTATTTTATTTATAAGCTAAACTCATGCAATGTATTTACCAAATTTTCCAGGTTTTATGGGCAAGGGCTTGACACGCAATTTGAACCGCACTTGGAATTACTTTGTGACAGGATTTCTGGGCACCGTTGTAATTTTGTTCGCATTCCCGCTAATTTGCCTAGCGACCTGTTTGCTCAGCATTGGGTTGGCATTAAGTGCACCTCTGTGGATTCCAGTGTTTTGTTGTGTTGTGCACATTTATATGATATTAGTTTTATGACCTTGATGCACCGGACAACACTAGGAATCGTTACTGTATTCTATTGGAGGTACTCTTATGGAACTTTCTCATTCAGGGCCTGCTGCAGCCGCTAGTGGCGATTTGGTGGCTACGTTGCTCTGCCCACTAGCGGCAGGTCTTGTTTCTAATAGGTAAATATATAAAACCCCTATGTAGTTTTAGAAGTGGATTGCTGACTAATTAACCTTTCAGTTGGTGTTGTGCGTTATACGCTGCGTCTGCTCTGGGATTCCGTGACGTTTCATTTGTTCATAAGAAATGCGGAAGGGTGCCCGCTTCGGATAGCATTGCTGTAAAGCGAATTGCAGGACCCGGCTTGGCCTTGGACTATTACTTTATCATAAGACCAGAACAGGCGTTGGCAGCATTGGAGGCTAAAATGGAGCTGGACGAGCTGCAGGCATATCAGCATGCTACCGAACGTGTGGTATTGCAGCCACAGCAGGATTTTCTGCAATTTGTCGAAGCCTGTTTTTGGTCCCTTTTTCCGCTCAATTGTCAAAAACGGGTCCATATTTAGCGCTTGATCGCGAAGCACAAGACTTGATGAGCTCGTTGCATGAAAAACTGGAGAAAACGCCGCAGGGAGCTGCAAACCAGTCTAACCACCCAGGTTAAGTCGCGGATTAAGCTGAACACCAAAGAATTGAAGGTACTGTAAAATTACTTTCGCTGTGCACTATGTGCTACTATAATTGATGTACATTGACTGTATTTAAAGATCGTTATACAACTGGCCGCCCATTTACTCGAAAAATACTATCCGTCTCATGTGGTTGGCAGGCTATCGATTAGCGAAGAAGAATTTTGGGATAACAAGGTATGTAGTGTACAAGAACACATTGATTATTTTTTAATAAGTATAATATAATTTCTGTGTGCTTGCTTTACAGGGTCTCTCGGTTAACGATTGGCCGGGTCTCGCGGGTCTCATATATACGGAAATATTTAGTTTAGATTTTCTAACGCCATTGACTGAAAACGATACGCATTTTTAAATTAGAACCACATGCCTCGCTTGACTTAATGCGCTATACGGAGATGGTAAAGAATGCCAACGATGTGATCGGTTCCAAAGGGCTAGATTTATTAGGCAATGTGTATGCGCCTCGCGGCAATGTCCAGGTGCATTTACCATTCCTCGAAGTGACCGCATTTAATCCACGTTCACGCATCACGTTGACTTTCCGCAAGCCGAGAAGCGGTAAGTGTTTTTCCGTCAAGGAGACCTAATGTATTAACGGGTTTGTTTAAATGTTATAGCGACATGTCCGTGGTCTAACGACGCCACGAGTACGCGCGCATCGCGCTCAGCACGTGCCGAAAGCAACGCCAGATGCCCAAAGGCCTTGGCGTCCATGGAAACAGAAAGCGGGGAGCGAAGCGTGACGGAGAAATTGTTGATACCGCTGCCAGTGCCTCATCCCGTACACATTGCCATAGCCATTTATAATCGCGATACAGAGCAACCCATACCGTTGGACTCCGAGCTCGTCTGGGAAATACTGAAATCTATTGAAGACTGCCAGAGCGGCGATGCAATGGTATGTGGTTCTAATTGTATATAAGTTCGTTTAGTAATTTAACCTCTTTTGACAGGCTGTACATTCGGTAGCGCGCTATCATGGAGCCGTCCTAGAGTCTAGCAATGATTCGCTTGCCAGCAGCAGTAGCATTGGCAGCACGCGCGAATCTGGCTCCGGTTCCGTGTCTGGTTCTGCATTGGGCAACGGCACTGAGACTTTGCCTTGTGGAAATCGTGAGGTACGTTGGTTTATTAAAAACTTTGTTTCCGAGTCTCATCCATATGCCGCACAGGTTTGCACACAGGTCAAAGTTGATGCCGCGCCTACACCTAACGCATCTGGCTTTCATTGGACCCTTAGCAATTGGGGTGCCGCGCAGACGGCGCGTAGACGCACCAATTCCAACGTGCGCGTCGATTTAGCCAGTCCCGAGGATATATCACTGGACACAGATAGCTCGCGAGCTGTGTTTAATAATGCATATGGCACTACAGTCTAACAGGTTCATGTTAATTTGGGCACAATATATATATATATATATATATATATATATATATATATATATATATTTAAATATATATTTATATATAGATATATATATAATATATAATATATATATCCCTATATATTAGAAATTCAAATACGATTATGTTTGGATGCAGCTGCAGTTCTTACAAAAATGAGGAACATTCAAATTATTTGCATTATCCAGTTAGGCATTTGTATATGACACGCATAGCAAGTGACATTTCGCGAATTGTAGCTTTATTTAATTAAATTTGATTCATTAAAAGGCTATGAAATGCAGGAAGAATGTCGGATTGCTGAGGCTCGGTTCAGCTAAAGCATTTATGATAGTTAAAATGTAATATGAACAAATCTATCCATATACATACTATATATCTATATTATATGATATACACACATAAATGAGTTGTTAGCATATAAACTTATACATATATACATCCTTATATATATATATATATATATATATATATATATATATATATATATATATATATATATATATATATATACATTGCAAATACACAAAGCAACTTAAATCTAGTCGCCAGCAACTTTTATGCAGCAATTTAACTCAAACTTTTTTATGCCACTAATTAAGAATACTAAATAGCGAACGCTTCAATACGTATGGCTTCGATGATGATTTTACACCAATTCTAGTTTATACTTTCATTCGAATATTCACAGTTCAACTAACAACACACTGTGGTCCATTAGTAAATTCCATCGGCTTTTCATGATTACTACTAATAATTGTAATTTTTGTAGAACGCTTGAATATTTTATTCAACTTCTTCACTCGTTTGCATCAGTTTACCTTGTTTGCTACACTTGAAAAGAATTCCAAATTTTAAACGAAATAAGTTGATGGTTTCAAAGATAGATTTTTGTAAAACAATGCTCGACCGACCATACAATATTAAGCAATATATACATTTACATACAGGCCTTATCGAAGGCAGTTGAAGTATTTAATGTTAATCAACTTCTAGTAGGGTAGGTAGGTGTTTTTTTTAGCAATCAGGTAATCATTTGCGAAGACAAACTGGATTATATAGAAGATATGTGAGCAGTCAAAGAAACAAACAAATATCATTGAAAAATAGTTAGAGTAACAGATTCAGGTTGATAATAATAAACTGTGTAAACAAATGCGAATCGTTCTTAAGAAACTAAAGTGTTCAATTTATGCCTTGTACGATTGAATGTCCATTCCAAAATTGCAATCAATCAAATGATCAAAGAATCAATCACACATCAAAGGATACCAAAATCATGTTCATGCAATTCTTATGCCTACCTACTCTTGAGTAAATTAACAGCACTAAAATAATTATACAAAAAACCGTAAATAACTCAACATAATACCATAATTTAGAAGTTTTATAGCGAAACGTAATTCAATTAAAAAACAAATTTTGTGGACGATCGATAACTGTTTTAAACAAGTGCGTATTCAAAGATATAGTATTTTAAACGATGGAAAACATTTTTGGCACACTGTGCAATGGCCATGAGATTTTCTTTGTACCTAACAAATACAGAAATTTAATTTTAGCAATCAAAAATATTATAAATGCCACGAATTGTACTAAACAAAAGTTGAACAAATATTGTTAATTAATATTAAATATGGTATGACAACTAATTTATATAAATTAATATACATACAACTATTACTAAACTTAAACCTGTATGCATATGCAACTATGTTTTTACAACTACTACTATTTCTTCTTTTCCTCTTCCAAACACTAATACGAATTATAAATGATAGTAACAATAATTAACAAATTAACGTACAATAACAGCATTAAATAAAGGCAGTAAATTATAATTTAAAAATTTTTCACATATATATATATATATATAAATATATAGTAAGAGACTACAAATCATAATTGTTAAACAATAAAAGAAAGAAGTATCTGCCGCTTTCCAAGTCAGTTGTATTACCTGTAATACCAATCCTTCCCCCAACGTATAGTACATGTGCCCTCCAAGTATTTACCAATATTTCTCCTTTTCTATTTAGTTATGTTAACTTCAAAGTATTAATTTTTAGTACCTACACCTTACACTGCTTTCTGATTTCAATCATAAGTTCGGCAGCTTCCAATACTATTTTAAGATTGGCAAATACATTTCTTATTTACATTTTCTATATCTACGAAAAGAAGATAAAATTATTCGTTTGCTCATGCTTCAGCGTAAATTTATCGGAACCATTTATATCCATATATATTAAATGAACAAAACAAATACATTTTTTAATGAAAGCAAGTCTCATAATAGCGCTTCATGGGCAAACGAACTCTTATTATATTTTAAGCTAGAGTAAATCGAATGAGATCTTTGCGTACATGCATACAAATATACAGACATACATAAATATGTAGTTATACAATTTAAAACATACAAATTAAATGAAGAAAATGAAACGATAATCTCGACAGCGCATTGAACAATTTTATGAAAATGAAACGTAGTTTAATAATTATGTAATAAAAATGTTGGATAAAAAATAAATATTGATGGTTTTTATTTGTGCAAAAATACTTGGAAGTTATTCGTATATCGTATCTTTCTATTTTGACATCTTCTAAATTTACCTGCAAGAATCTAGTCACTTCTTTCCTGGTCAAAAAGGGAAAGCTGTAGAAATAACGTTGCTACAAAAAAGGATAACATTTTGTTGTTTTTTTTTTTCAATTTTACTTCACTTTATTTTGATTTACTTTATACATTAAAAGTAGCTTAAGTATAGAAAAGATTCACTAAGGATAATTTAACGTTAGCTTATAATAAAAATTAACCAACAAAACTCGTAGCGAGTACAAGGTAAACAATTCGAAAGGATTAAATCAAGGGAAAGTATAATCACAATAATTAGTTAGTTTTGAATGCAAATGTGATACGAAAAAATTTCATTAAAATATATGAATATTACACTATATAAGTAAAAATTGACTGATAAGTAACATAAAACAGTTAAGTAATCTTTTCAATTCGCTTTGCGATACACTTTAATTGAAAATGTTAGCAGGTATAAAATTGTATATAGAGATAGATAGATAGATAGATGTATATAGACGGGGAAACAACGTGTCTAAATTTGTGAAAATGCGGATCAAGAAATCCAATAATCAACAGTTCAACAGCCCTAAGTTCTCTGAGTGACTTTACTATATGTATATATATATATATATATATATAATGAATGTCCTTATTTTTAAAGTTTATATTTGTTGGATTTGTTTGGAAATGGTTGAGAGTCTTAACATCTTTAGTGAGCAAACCTTTTGTAGAAAAATCGAATCTAATACAATGTTAAGGCATATTAAATTCAATTAACTAATCACATCCGGTATGATAAAATAGAGTAGTAGAAGAGTAGAAGGAGCAGTAAACGTTCTCCTTTTGAGTACAAAATATAATTAGATAACCAACGAAATTGTAAATCTGTTCAAGGATGCTGATTCTACTGAGATTTCAACAAGTTACCGTGGAATTTGTTCCAATACTTTTACGTTAACAACATATGTAGAGTGCTTGATCTACACAAGGGAATGTCTAAAACTCAATAGATTTAGTTGACTAGCCCTTCGGCATAGCCTTGACTCATTATTTTTCCAAATCTGTGCCTCACTGAAACGGCAATAGGCAATTGGCTGTCGTGTTGAGCAGTCCTAGGCGCTGCTTCTGCTTGCGCTGCTCCGTCATGTGATCTTTCAGCTCGTGTAGTTGCGTCGACAGATTCTTGATTAGCAGTTGTGTCTCCAGGAGCTGTGCCTGCATGCTACGCAGCTCGATCTGTTCGCCATCGGCGTCCACTGCGGCCAGCGACATGGCGCGTAGCCTTGGGAACCATTCCAAAATGCCAGCCTTCACCATGGCGTATACATAACTTTCAGGCCCCGTGAACTCTGTGGGATCCTTGACCTTGACCAGCACAATGAAGTACAAGTAATGCCACATATTGTGCTCGCTTTTGATGTGCTCCTCGAAGCTGACCGTCTTGTTGTCGAAAGCTGAGCGGTTGAGCGAACAAATGAAACAGGTCGTCTTGAGTATTGCCTCTTTTTGCTGCTTTTCCGATCTCAGATCGGCAAATGTGTCGATAATGACACCAAAAATCAAGTTCAACACGATAATAATGACAATAAAGAAGAACAGCAGATCGTAGATGACGCGTGCCACAAAAAGACCCTCCTGCAAGGCAAATGAATAATTATTGTATTTTCGTTTCAGTTTAGAATGCGAGTTAATAAATTACCTTGCTCGAGGGTGCCCTCAGAATATCGCCAATGCCGCCACCATTTCGCAGTCCTTGGTTTAGGGTCGTTACAATGCACATGACCAGTGAGTCACAGGAGCGTTCCTTGGCATCGCCGCTGCCAACGATAGTTGCAGCTCCGTTCTGCCTTGAGCCGTCTTCACAGCCGCCGTGTTCGTCTGGCCTGGCACAGAACTGATCGGGCGACGCTGACACCGATAACGTTAACGGACTAACAGTCGAGGCATCCTGCTCTTCAAAGTCCACCGAAACGAGAAAATCATCTTTGAAGAACATGTAGCCAATTATGGAGAATAGGTAGACCAAAATCAATGCCAGCACGGCGGTCAATACAATGGAGCGGCCGTTGCGTGTAACTGAACGAATCACATTGACCAGCGTCTCCTCTCGATAGACAACGTCAAACAGCTATGAAAAGGCTCTGAATTAAATTGAGGAACACATCATTATTATATATACTTACCAGCAGTGAGTAGAAGAATGGATGGAAAATCAGTCCACAAAAGCAAAATGCTATATAAATGCAATGATAGAGCAGCTGAAAGTCGGTGATGATCTTCAGAAAGTGCTTCTCTAATGTGCCCTTGTTGCCCATAATGCTCACAATATGAACGCTCTTAAGCGTCACCTGCGAGAAAAGGATTGCAAAATATGAATTGAGCAACTGGATACTTGAGCAACCTGGACAACTA